GGAAATTAATCCAAGGAGGAGGAGGAGGAGGAGGAGGAGGAGGAGGAGACGATCCTTAAAAATCCATTCGGTTAAAATTTATTTCATGAATATATCTATTTAAATATTCATCTCTTCAAATGAAGGGTTTTTTTTAAGAAAAATAAAAGTTTTTTTTTAACTTAAAAACCTTCAATCTGAAGAGATAAATATTTAAATATATTCATGAAATAAATTATAACTGAAATGGATTTTTAAGGATACTTATTATTATTAATATCTATCTATCTATCTATATATATATATATATTTATTATAAATTAACTAGTTTAAAATATGGAATTTTTGCTACACAGTAATAGCCATGTTTCAAAAATGGAAGCTAAAAGCTTCAAATTTAATTTTGTAATTAAATTAACAAACATTAGTTCCATTTCATCCTCAAGCAAATTTTGGAGTAACTTATTTTTTAAATTCACTGAGTTTTAAAGGAATAGAAAATTCATAATTCAACTGTTTCCAAGGATACAGAGAAATCCAATCATTCAGACAAGAGGTGGTAGCGTGTTTATTTTTATTAATTTTTGTTGTATCAGTTATTAGTTAAGTTCGAAAAAGGGGTTATGTTTAGGTAGGGATAGGGATATGTTTTTCAACGAATTCTGACATCCGTTAAATGCATGTCATCTTTTTTTTTTTTTTTTAATTTTATTGTTAATGGCAAAAAATTCTTATGGCATTTTTTCTATTTTTATACTTAAAGATTTTTTGGGTTACGTTTTATTTAACTACAATTTTAAAATATTTTCACTTTTAATTTTTAATAGACTATATTTCTTTTAAAACAAGTAAAGATACTAGAATTACCTACAGTATATAAAATTATTGTTTCATATCAAGTATAAGTATGTATATTACCAGGTCAGATTTTTTTAAAATTTTATTTTTAAATATTATTTCATGAAAATTTTTGACAATGACGGCATAAAATAGCTATTTCATTTCTCTGATTCAGTAAACTTTTATTTTTTATAAACTTAGTAATATATAGTTTCTCATGTATGTACAAAGGACATGGGTCATTTAATGGCCTACATATTCTAGCTTTTCTTATTAATTTTATTTTACTGTAGGTGTTTTATTGGATTCTTTTAAGTGCTAGAAGTACTTTGAGAGAGATGTTTAGGTTAGAATACATTTTATTTAACTAGAATTTTAAAAGATGTTTAGGTTAGAATTCGTTTTATTTAACTACAATTTTAAAATATTATCATTATTAAATATTATAAGTATTTTGAGAGAAATGTATGATTTCTATATTTATTTATCCTAAATTAACTTTGATGTTGGTTGAACCATTTTTTGAACTCATGGCTTGTGCAACCTATATAGATTTTTATGTTTTCAGGATTTTCAATAGAAGAGATATTACATTGGTATACTAATGATTCTGTGTGACATTTATTTTGTAGAGGACAGTTGTGAGGGTTTCTACAGTTACATAATTTTTGTTTATTTTCATCTGATTTTATTTTTATATTTCCATTGTCTAAAATTTTTTGGTTTTGGTATTAGCATTATATTCCTTAGTAATTTTTTCTAAGTTTTCAGAACAGCTGTAACTTAAATTTAGTATATTTTTATTGAAAATAGTACTTAGTTTACTTTCACTAGGAAAATGCTTGACTATTAATGCAAGGAATTTTTTTCCTAATTTGTTCTTTACCATTTTCAGCGTTCAGAACATTAATTTAAAACAGGGCTCAATATAAAGAGCAATAAATATTTAGTATGCACTGTTACATTGGAACATGTACATACCCACTACAATTCAAATATTGATTTTACAAATATTGGTGATATGAAAAAATGTGTTTGGTGAGTATTTAATATATATTGATTATTAATATTCCTTCTACGTATTTTATCTGTAATAAGTTTTGTTCTTGTTTAATAAAATAGCATTTTTATTAACTGTTATAGTGCTTGTATCAACTCCTAGTTCAGTGTAATAATATTCCTAAGTAAAACACTGGAACACAAGATTAGTAAAAGAAACTGTTTAATCACGTGGCTTAATATTACAATACTAGCAAATATTGTAGTTAGTGTGACTAGCGTACAACACGTTGTGTCTTGCTTGTGACTACTTTTATAGTAGTTCAACATTTTAGTGTAATGAAAGTTGGTTCTCTTTCTCCACAACAATGTCAAAATTATTGCCAGTGTTATTATGGGATACCCAGAAATAAAACCACAAATAAAGATTTGATCAGTAAAAAATATAGAATCAACAATGCATATGAAGCTAGAATATATATATATATATATATATATATATATATATATATATATATATATATATTTAAATTTTATGAAAATTATTTATATAGAAAAAGCAAATAAACGGAAGAAATATGTTAATGAAGATACAATTTTGTTAAAATCCTTCAACGGTAACAAAATTTTTAAACAATAAAATTTATTAATTTTAACCTTGTACAAATGAACATTTGTTTTT